CTGCTTTAACCGCTATTGCTATAAAGTCAGTGCTAAGTTAAAACCTTTTGGCAAACTGCAATTTTTTTTTTTTTTTTTTTTTTTTTTTTGTTTTGGTAACCGTCCACGGCTACGGGTATAAAACCTGAATATTTTTGGGACAGAAGAAATCCCTCTTTTTTGCTCGGCGCGGGAGGAACGGGAGGTGGGGGGAAGTAAACAACAGAAAAAAAGAAAAAGAAAAAAAAAAAAGGCAGTTAACCAAAAAACCCGCTAAAAACCCAAGGAAAACAAACATTGCTTTTAGCAACAATTCACCACCTCCAAGAAAAACAGCGCTTAATAGATACAAAATACGCTTGACCTTAAAAATGCCTTTTTTTTCCCTTTCTTTTTCCTTTTTCTTTTTTAAACCCACTGATGGAATTAAACCAAATGAAAGAAAAATCAGAACGGGCCGCGCCAGAGCTGAGTATTTTCTTTCGAATTCTGCGATTTCCCTTTCCCTCGCCTTTCCCTTTTCACGGGAAGCAAAGGACACCGTGAAGGGAATTTTTTTTTGGGGGGGGAGCTAATTTTTTTGGAGGACTGGGGGAGGAAAAATAGAAATCCCCGAGCGGGCACTGCGCGATCCCCGGCCGCGGGCCGCAGAGATTTTCTCTTGCAAAGAAGAGGGAGAAAAAGAAACACCACCACCACCACCCCCCCAAAAAAAAGAAGAAAAAAAAAAAAAACCCAAATCAGCTTTGATTTGCCCCACGTTTCCAAAACAGAGCAGACTTCAGAGAGCCCGTCGGGCTTTTGATGCCAAAGCGGGGTGGAAATCACATCAGAAATAGTCAAAAGGGCCAGTTACAAAGCCACTGGTTTGCAAGAAAAGTTAAACTGGGATATGATTTCCTCTGCAGAGGAGAGAGACATTCCCCCCGCATTCCTCCCCGCATTCCTCCCCGGAGCTCGGGAGAGATCAAATTGTCCATCTGTACCCTATTGCTAATGCTCCTGGATCCTATTTCTTGTGCCCGTAAAGCTTTTACAGGCCTGCTACCTTTAGGCGATGGGAGTTAGGGTTATTATCCAGCAAACAACTCACTTTTTTTTTTCCTCTTTTTCTTTTTTTTTTTCTTTCTTTCTTTCTTTTGAACAGGAAACCATTCTGAATCCACATGCAGCAGTTTCAAATAACTTCCTCTCAAAGCCTCCTGTTTTCTTTTAGCGAACAGAATTTCCTGGCCTTTTTTAAAGTTGCTGTTTTCTTCCTGTCTCTTAAGTAGACAGAAAACATTACATCGCTATTAATATAGTTATTTTGGAAGAGCTGCTCCCAATTTCGCCGGGACTGAGTCGGCCCGGGAAGGAGGGTTTCTGCTGCCTGACAGCATTATTATTTCTCTCTGCGTGTGATTATTATTAGTTTAATCCAATGCATTTATGGAGGAAAGGGAAGAAATTAGATCTATTCTTTCCTCGGGT